TCGGAGGCTTTACTTTATTGGGTCATTATTGTGGAGATGTACTGTAATTATGCTATAACTTGAGCGAAATTTGTGAGGGGTGATACAAGGGGGTTCAGGAGCTTGCTCTGTTCGGGTATTGTGATTATACAAAGACCTATTCCCTTTTTATGCTTTATTGATCCTTTTATGCTTTTTTTTTATTGATCCCTGATTATGCTTTATTGATCCTTTTTTATTGTTTTGATCCGTATTCCCCGTACCAGTGGCGTAAAGTGTTATGTTGTAGTACGATATGACAGAAAAGTATGATATGCAACGTATATCATACAATCTAAGTATATATATACACATAAAAACTGATTGCATAATGTAGAATATGCAATATGTTTTATAAACATATCATCTATAACATCTGGTACAAAATCGAAAATACAAAAATGTGTTCTACAGGGTATATAGCAGACGATATATAAATGTAACATCATGTCATAAATAAAAATATAACAAACAATATATATCATGATTTAATTAATACACGAGATTTAGCATAGAATATGTAATGGGAGTTAGATAACAGATAACTGATCATATCATATACAAACTATTATGCGTGTATATATATATATACACACATATTATACGAAAAACCTATATTACAACATACGATATATATATATATATATATAGACGATGACAACCAATACAATATGTTATAGCGGCCGCCTTCTTGGCCAGCACAGCCCGAAGGGATTGCAGCCGAAAGGAGAAGATCTTCCAGTCCAGGGCACGGAAGCCTGGCACAGCCAGGCACAACCTTTGTCATTATTTCGAATACGAGTCAGAACATGAAATCCAATCCGCCTCCCAGGTCCTGAATACGTGACCGGATCATCTCGGCATCGGCAGGATTGCTGCAGACGGCGCTGTCAGTACGAGCTTTTAACAGCTCGACTAAAGATGACTGGCGCTGATTCAGGTAACGCTCAGAGAAGGCGATGCCAACCTGATTTCGAGGCCACTTCGTGGACGCATGAAGTCACAAAGCTCTTGTCGGAAGCTTCCACGCCTCACACTTTTATTACACAAAGCAGAAAATGGCAACCAAGCAGCTTTGGATTCGAGGCGCGTGGCTTCTGCAATCTCATACACACACCTTGACTGTTTCATTATTTTCAGTACCTTCGGAATCAAACAGATGCTTTTAATTACCCTCAGTACAGCTGCGGCTAACCCAAAGGTTCTAGAGCCATCAATTTACAAAGGTGTGCTAAATTTCTACCAGGACTCCATAAACGCTCATAGACTCGGGCAGATGATGTGTGAACCACCACCATACCAAGAGCCGGAGTCGTGTGTCGAATCACAGATCCGAAGGGATCCAGCTTGAGCTGTTCACTGATGCTCGGCCCCACATCGCCAGGCTCATCTCCTGCCTGGTATTGGGCAAATCCGCAGAACCAAATGCTGGTGGAGAGCCCGGAAGTGACTTCCAAGCAGTAGTCGACAATAGCTTCCTCACACTCGTCCATATCCTCCTTGCACAGGGTCAACAGCAAAATAAGAAAGGGAACTAGCCTGCTTCAAGAGCAAGAGTCCGCCTTAATCTGGCTGCCCAAAAAAGGACGTTGCAAAAAATCCTGGGGTCTCAAAAGCTTGAGGGGTATGGAAGTGCTGTTGCTGTGTTGCTGTGCCCAACACCGGCTCGACACCGATCGGGCTGCGTGCAGCCCTGCCTTGTTCATCCATTTTGGCCGGACTTCTCTTCCGAGTGGCCGTGTTCTCGTCGTCACTTCTGCTTGATAAGTAGTCCGACTGGTGTTTGAGTGGCGGCTTTTTCAACCGGGCCGCTTCGTTTGCAAATGGACCAATTTGTCAGGCGGCGAAAGGAAACCCGGCAAGAGGTCGGCCGTCAAGTGGTCTCTCTGTTTCCGGTTTCGCCCTCCCTGTTCTCCGTCAACGCCCTTTTTTGCCTTCTCTGTATACGCGAGTGTATACAGATTTTCGGCATGCACGGCCATGTAGCACGAGCGCGACTTCGAATTTCGCCAAAATCATTGAGTGATCTTGCTAAGATCCGCTTCAACTATGGTCTGCATCTAGGCTTAGGCTACTGCACCATCTCAAGTTCGACAGGCTTGCAGTCAAAATTCTGCCCACGTGTGGGAGATCATCAACGTTGCCCGACCTCTGTTGAACTTTTTACTTGTCTCTAAGCAGAGTCACACATTCAGCAAGGCGGGTGCTGCCGAGTAGCACGGTGTTTGGTGGTTCATCAGCAGGGCAATTCCACAACCAGTGCCGCGAGTCCAGGGCTTCACAAGCTGCTGGATAACGTCCTGGGAAAGATGCAAACATTCGAACAGAAACAAGGAGCTTTGTTACGTGGTCTTAAACAGCGAGGATTCGCTCCTTCGGTGAATGCATAGGGCATGCATGTCACCGGCGTGCATTTAGCTTTGACGCACATTTCACACAGAAAGTGCTGCAACTTTACAGGGCCGATGCCCGTTCAATCTGTCGGCCTACTTCAGCGGAGCTCTCAAGCCTTCGGCCGACAAGGTCCCCGCGCCATGATTCACAATAATCTTTGCACTGCCGGGTGTCATATAACGTCACCACGTCTCGCATTTCCTTTATCCACGGCCACAGCGCGGTCTGTCGGCATTCAGACAGAAACCTCTGACAAGGCAATGATGGTGCAGAGAAGCTTATAGCATTGAGTGCTCTGCCTGAGGCAAGTCGATTCTTCCCATGCCGTCGGATGGTTGGTCATCTCGTTCGCAGTGTTCTCGTCTTATGAGCTTATGAGCACGGAAATGTGTACCGACTTGGTGCAGGAGAAGTTGCTCGCGGAATTGCGTGGCTGTCATGCCCCAATCCTCTCAGGCTTTATGCGCACGGGCTCTTCAATGCTTCAACCGTGTTGACAGGGGTCGACTGCGCAAAAGCATCTTTGGACTAAAACACGTGCCCTGCTCCTGCGGTGGCACCTCGCGATTCGTCCACACAGCTGGCCCCAAGCACGAGGGAAGCGGCGGCAGCTCCAGTAAGGAGCTGCAGCCGGCATCTGGACAGTCTTTACATTGGGGCATCGATAGCCACTTCGGCCGAAGCAAAAGATTCCTCGCAAGCTCTTGATGTGAATGCATCTTCGTTTCAATGCTCGTTCAGATGCATCAGCTCATGTTGACATGCCACCAATCCTGAGCCCAATGTCGAAATGTCGTCTTGCTTGATCTGGTTGCTTGGGCCAGTATTGACAACGCTGACAACCACGGTCTGGTACCCACACGCACATGTGGAAAGTCCCAGACCTAATTGGCTGAAAAGAGCCTTTCACTTCTTACTTGAATCAACACCAGTTGCAGCGATCAGGCTTGTGATCTGATCGAAGCTTATCTTCCATGTCCATCTTGATGCCAGCCGGCTGAACTCAGCGGACTGAAACGGAGTCAAGCAAACTCCAAACCCACCCGTCACCCACCCAGCCTTGTTCTCATCACCTTCTTTGTTCTCTTTGTTTTCTTTGTCGTCGCCCTGGGCCGGTTCAGGCGCAGCACCAGCTTCGCCTGCCACCAGCGCAAAAGCTGATTTCCCTGGTGCTTGGATTACATGCACTGTCATGATCTGTCATGCACCTGAGCCCCGGGAAGCTTCCGCGCTTTACAAGGAGCAGAGGCGGGAGATGGGAGGGGGCGGAGGGACGAAGCAGGGGGAAGAGAGACTCGAACGACTTTCAAATTTGCTGCCTTCTCCCACCTTGGCTTTGCCGACCTGAGTGCTTGCAGACACAAGGTGCGTGCACCGAATTCATCCAGCTCTGGGCCCTGCCATCTGCATAAGCAGATCATCGGCGGATGTGTTATCCACACCTTCAGGAATGGCAAAGGTCATACTGAAGGGAACTGTTCTGCACTGAAGATCTGTCCCATGTGGACTTACCGAAGCAAAGCTCGGGGGCACTTATACTCGCTGTGATGTGGCATGTGAGTCGTATGAGGTGAAGCCAGGTTGGCTTGCATCCTCCAACAAGCAGCTCCGAGCTGTGACAAACAATTGTCTCGCACGATGTGAGACAGGAAGAGCTTGCAGACTGTCTTAGGCAGCAGACCTGTTGGATCCGCCATGGTGCCGCAAAACAACCCGGTTTGGGGGGAGGTGTGACAGCAGGTGCTGGGGCAAATGGTTGTGGGTCCTTTCGCGCTAAACTTGTGACCCCAAGCTCTCCTTGCTTGGACGAACATGTCAACAAGGTCTATTTCTGACCTCTATGCGAGCCAAACAAACAAAGTGGCCTGCTCTTATGATTACAGGGAGCTGCGCAGACTGCTGTGTGCACTCCTACACCATCAAAGCCGCTCTTTGTTGATAGTAAACGCAGCTGCAGAAGCTAGTACAATGACCAAACACCAGTGTCGGCAGTATGAAGACTCCTTGCCCGTGATTGTTTCTTACATTTCTCCACTTCTCACTGCTCCCTTGAGCCGAAAACAACGATGGCAGCTCGTTGAGTTCCGCCGACGAAGATGACCACAGCTCAACCTCTACCTCCGATCAGAAACACTCATGCGCGGTGACCTCACTATCTGTAGTAACAGGAAAGGCGGGCACGAAGAATCTGTTCACCCACGGCAGCAGCTCGTCAGCGAGTCGGTTCTAGCCGCAGGATTCTCTTCGACAGGAACCATGGAGAACCCTCAGCGCTGCCCTCATCTGTAGTGGGCGAGATGGCTGTGAGGGTTTTAGCTCTTAGTATTCTCGTAAGAACGAACCCACTATATATACACAACAACCTAATACATTAATCCTACTTCATGTGCAAGGAAGAGAGTCCACGTGTTCGGACCCGGAAGACTTTGCAAATCTTTGAGCAGCAAGGCTTCGCCTGCCCTGCAGCCGCTCTGATTAGCGCAAGCCAGGGTTTCTGGCGTTTCAGCTGGGAGCGAGTCGAGCCATGCAGCACGCAGAACCGCTCCAACCCCCAAGTTGGTTAATTCGCACAGCTCCTGCTCTGGGCCTCACTTGACTAAGCGTCGCTCGAAGAGGTAATCAGAGCGGGGCGCCTGAATTGTCACCTTGTCCTGTGATAATTCGCGATGCAACAAGCACCGGGTCTGCGAATCCGCTGCCCATGCCACGCCGGGTCCTTGTACTCTCCGTGGCACAGCGGCGGTGGTCCAGAGGCCTTTAACAGATTTTAACAGGATCTCAGCTAGCCTTCGATTCAAGGAATCGCTCGAGCACAGCCTTGAAATCCACCATTCCGCGGTCTGCACCTGCATCTTCGGCCCACTTTCCTGCATGCTTCCCCACGCGGATGGTCGCACCTCCCAGGCTTCCACGAAGAACTTGCAAAGAGCTTCGAAACCGCTAGCCTTTGTAGCAGCAGTCAAAGATGGCCCAACCTCAGCCCCGAGTACCCGGAATGAACGGTGACAAAGCATGGATTTCTCAACGTTTCTCAACTCTCGGAGAACTGCCCATATCCACGACATCATTGGCCTGGGCTTCCAAGGGGTCCTGCACCCGTAGGAGCCGCAGGGCTGCACTTCTCAGCCCTGGGTGCGCAGCATGCCGCACTGTGCCGGAGTCCTTAAAGACGATGCGGCTGCACGCGTTTTGTGCCACCACACGCCGGTATGAAGACGTTCGAAGCACCTGCACCTGTAGCTACCCTCTGAAGTTTGATCAATTCCAGGAGTATGCCGCAGCCAGCGGGACTGGTCTTGAAAGCCGACGGTATGATGGCTGGCTGATACTGGCTGCAGAGGAGTGTACATGTCCTGCCGTAGCTTCCGGCCTTGCCGAGGCTTTGCGTTCCTCCGCCGACCACGTAGCTTTGCGGCCCGTCTTCCTTGGCAAGATGTCCAGGGTGTGCCGCGCTAAGGTCGAATGTCCGGATGTCTCAGATCCAAGCTAAAGCTGTGCCCTCAGACTCCGGGTCCACATCTGCCTGGCTGAAAAAGCCCAGAGGGACACCACCTGAGCCAGTCGGACGGAGAGGTTGCCTAGAGAGCGAAAGATGCGAAGCCACGGGACAGGTCAGGGTAGTCCCACTTTACTCATGTCAACTTCTTTGTCACGAAAGTTGGCCAAATTCTGAGCCTGAGCTCATGGCCTGCAAACACCTGCAGGTAGTGCAGATCGAGCCATGCCGGAATGATGCCTTCGTCCAGCAACTTGATACGGACCTTAGGCACTTCGCGCATGGACAAGGTACTTTAGAAATCCGTGATTGGGTCTCCGGCAGCCTTTCCTATTGAAGCGGTGGAGGTTGCGCGAGCCTCTATGGTTTCCTCTACAGTGAACCATACATAGCCCTTCTCCTGCGGTACCTGCAGGGTATTGCTGGCTTCATGGAATGGCATCGCAAGAAGGCCCCTCTGCCTCTGGGTCGTCATGCTTCTTGCCGTTCAGGTTGGGCCCCAACCAGTCTAGGTCGGTGAGCATTGCCTCGTGCGCGGCTGTGGCCAGAAACCCTGCTCCGAAACAGGGCGCCATTCTTCCTGTCATCTCTTCATAGGTTTTTTGCTCACTCCACCCGAATTCGGGCTTTTCAGCTCTCCGCCGCGAAGGTCCAAGGCCGAAGCATAGAACTTGAAGCCGCGGCGTTGGTTTCCCTGGATTGCCATAGTTTGCCCGGGCCTTGTTGGCGGTTTAAAACTCTTTTGCGGTGCTTCAAGCATATTTGGTCAACAGGCGGAGCCGCACCACACAGCATCCAGTCCACACCGAAGCAACCAAGGATCACGCCCCGTTGCGGCCAAGCTGGCGGGACCTGGCAGGCTCAAAGCATCATACTACTTCTTCTGCTACGAAGGTGAGCGAAACAGCTTGCCTTCCAGCAAGTTCCAAAGCTTATCCTGCTCGAAGTAATGAAGACCTCACGCCAAACATCTTTGCTGAGGCACTCGCATCTGACACGACGCTCTCATGTCTACCCTTCTAAGGATCAAGCCAATGTTCAGCTCATGGTGTCCATTCTGAGGCCGAAGGCAAAGATGGTTTTAGGGAGTGCATGGAAAACGACCTGAAGCCTGTTCACACCTTCACCCGCCTTCCCATATCCTTCAAAGGTCCCGATTTTTCGCAGCCGGAAGGGCCAGCCGGCAATGCCTGGGCCGCTCCGCCGGACAGGATAGGAGAGGCGGAAATGGGGTTCCTGTGACAAAAGAAGTGTTGCGTTTTCCGCGTATGGTGCCTTCAACATCAGGGACTCAATATCTATCTTAAGCTGAAGTGAAGTCAAACAAAGACCCTTCTTCAGCGACAAACGCGGCCCTGGCGCTAGCTTTGCCACAGAATTCTAGGATACTTCTAGGATCAAGGCAGCACGTGTCCTGAGGTTCCGGCGCATGACGCATGGGTAGTATCCTGAGACCGGCATCTTTTAGCATAATGTGATCTCATCGCTTCCTGTGGCTGTCGCCGGCATCGGACTGGCTGAATGCTGGCAAGACGGGTCGCAGCTGTAATTGCACGGAACGGACGGTATTGGCCCCGGTTCACCGAAAGCATATTGTGCCAGCAAGGAGCCCCAGGTGGGATTGCCGGCAAAGTCCGCGATGCGAATCTCAGCCTTTTAGTGCGTTTGGGAGTGCCCGGCAAACATCAAGTGCGGAAAGGTGAGCGACCTCGATGTTGCCAACCGGCATCACTTTTTCGGAGAACTCCTGAAGTAGCAAGATTTGGCAAGCCACAATCGCGGCAGTATCAATCACCATTATGCCTGGAAAATCCTGGAAAGACATCGAAAGTGTGCAAACACGCATGACGAAGGCAGAGGACAGCAGCATTACTGTGTGCCAAAGCACGTGGTGCCATCTTTGCACGGGACGCCACGGGTGCCCTTTTGAGAACATCCGAGGGTTGCACGGCAAGGCCTCTTGCCGGAATGTCGGGTTCGAAAGCAGGAACATAGTCTTACAACTGATTGGCCCACTGGTGGATCCTGGTCCTAGTTGAACCGGGGCCAAAGCAAACTTGGAGCAGGCAGTTCAGGTATGTTGAGGTCTCATTTCTCGCATGCTCACGGCTCCCTGCAGATGCTCCTCTGCGTTGAGGCCCATGTGGACAACGTTGTTGTCCCAGAACCTGCGCGCCTGTGCGAAGGACTGCAGCGGGAGGACTTGTCCGGGACAAAAAGCGACGGGAGGCGAGTTCCCTGCCTGAACATCTGGCACATTGTGATTGTCACGCTTAGGGATGTAGTCTTGCAGCGGAAAGTTCCACGTACAGTCCTTGGCCAGGAACCGGGGAGCATGGGCCAAATCATGCAACGGTCTGCGAACTGTTGCGACATGAAGCAAGCTGAGGCAAGCTCACGAACGCCCTCGTATTGCATGCACTCAACCTGAGTCATGGACGAGCTTCGTGGAGAGTCTCTTTCTGTTTTGCCATTTCAGTGGCTTACTTACTTGACATGGACTTGTGGTCATTGCGGTGCTAAGCCTATCTTTCTTTCCATCTCCCTCCAGAGCTCGCATCTGTGACGTGAGGCCCAGGCGGTTAGGCGGCAGTTCTTCTCGGGAACGGGCCGCGACGTGCACAAATCCTAGTGCAACTATGGAGCACACTAGTTGCCGCCATGACTAGCAGGTTTCAACGTGCTGCAACTCAGCTCCGGGCATGTCGAGCTGCCGTGAACGTGACGTACTGCTCGCTAAGCCTCGGAGGCACAGGCACCACGCACCATGCCGTGGGCCAACGTGTGCCAAAATCACAGTCAAGACTTTAGACCTGGTCAGGGAAGGGATGTGGGGCTTGATCGGAAATCTCGTGCCGATGACGGACCACAGAATAGTTAACAGTGAAAGGACCGTGCTGCTTGCACATGCCAGTTCTCATATACCTACATCTTGTATGAGCATGTCCAGAATGAGCGCAAGTTCTATGAATCGACTCCTGAATTGAATCAATCGCAGCTGCAGAATTAGGTCAACTGTCGGGGGTTCTAAACCCTCATGTGCTGAGCCATGATGAGCATCCGACCTGCTATCGGTGTTCAACGCTGACAAGCTCGCAAAGAAATCAGATCTCTTCCCCTGTGGGCCAGATGCCATAGGAATGCTCAGGACATGTGAAAGACAGCGAAGACTGAACTGGACCTCCTGGAAGTCCTTGCTGCTGAACATCGCCAGAGGAGGAAAGTTGGTCCTCAGTTGCCGCTCCAGCGCAACGCAAGGCAGCGGAGTGAGGTTGGCAGGCCTATACTCGATTCAAGCGAGCTTCCATAGCATGGAGTTCCACCATAGTGGGCCACCAAGTGGGCGAGCTAGGTCGAGCTCACCACATGACTCTTCGGGCCTCCAGAATAGCTTCTGCTTTAGCCCGACCCTCCGAGCAGTGCAGGAAACAGCTAAGAGCCAGTCGCTTGAGGGATTTCCTCGGAAAGCACTCGAGGTCCTGCAATCGGCCGACAGAATCTAGGAGCTTCCATAGCGCATCGTCACACCACTCAGCAACGACTGGCCTGCGCCAACCATGGTGCCACACCGCTGAGATGTGCGATTTCCGGCGTCTTCTTTCTACGAGGTGGGCTGTTCTATTGCGCCAAGGACTACTGTGTGTCACCGTATGTTTGCAGGAATTGGCTGTTTGATGCATGCCTCCCTGCGGTCTGATTGGCTCTGGCTCGTTCCTAACCAGGGAACTATGCAACAAGTCTGTCTGCTCAAACCATTTGCATTCACGCCAACCCTGCATGAAGGGAAGCTCCTGTAATCATCAGTTGAGATCGACGCATCAAAAAAATCATGTGGGGCCAATCGACTTTTGCACAGCGGCAATAGCAGTCCAACATGCAGTGATAGCAACATTAAACGATATTTCGTCATTGCGACCCGCAAGACGCCATGTATTGCTGAGAAGTGCCATGGATTGCTGCCACTGCGCAGCTCTCTCACATGCACTCATGGTTGAATTATGCGTAATGACATCCTGCCGAACGTGGAGAAATGTCAGCCGGTCCAGGAGGGCCAGAGCTAGCTGCCATCGTGCAGCCTTCTGACATGCACTGATGGTCGAGTTGTAGGTGATGATATCAGCTTGCAGGCGCCCTGGCTCAACCTCTTTCAGAAGTTCCAATGCAAGCTGCCACTCCTCGCCCTTTTCGCATGCGCTGATGCATGCGTTGTATGTTATAAGGGACGGATCGAGATGCACTGTGCAAAGCTGGCGCAACATGTACACAGCATACTGCCACTCAGAGTTCTTTTCACAGGCAGAGATGACTGAATTGTATGTGATGACATCCAGTTGAAGCTGCTGTTGCTTCATCTGGTCCAGATGCCAGATGGAGGTTTGCCAACGGCTTGATTTCTCATATGCCGCCAATACTGCGTTGTACGTCACTGTGTTTGGCAAGAGCTGCTTGCGTGAAAACACATCGCTCATTAGGTACAGGGCCATTCGCCAATGTCCAACTTTTTCACAGGCACTTATTGTAGCATTATACACGATCACATCCGGCACTACCTGAATGCGCTCCATCTCGTCGAGCAGCAGCAGTGCACGCTGCCATTGAGCAGCTCTCTCACAAGCTGTACTCGCCGAGCTGTAAGTGATCGTGTTTGGCTCTAAACTAATGACTTCCATCTCCCGCAGCAGCTGCAAAGCATGCAGCCACATTGCGGACTTGCCACACGCACTTATGGTGGCACTGTAAAGAATGACATTCAACTGCAGCCACTCCCCGTGGGCTGCATTGAGCATCTCCAGGCCAGTCTTCCAATCCGAGGCAGCTTCACACGCACTAACTGCCGCACTGAATGTGACAATGGTAGGCTGCAGGTGCAGCTTACTTATACTCTGCGTCAGAAGCAAAGCTCTCGAACTTTCTGCAGCCCTCCCAAAGGAGCTAATCAATGAGTTGAGCGTAACAATCGTCGCCTGCGTGTGTGTGGCCTGCATCTTATACAGCAAGCTTTCGGCCCGTGACCACTGTGAGGTCCTCTCCAGAACAGCAACCACAGCATTGCATGTCACTGAATTCACTTCTAGTTGACAGCTCTCAATGTCGCGCAGAAGCAGCACAGCATCTGGCCAAGATCCACGTCCTCTGTGCGAACTGACCATGGTCGAAAAAGTGATCAAGTTGCGCTCTAGGCGATGCTTTCGAATGTCCGCGACGGCTTGGACGGCACGCTGCCACTGGCAGGCCTTCTCTAATGTACCAAGTGCTGAGTTGCATGTTACCACATCGCGCCGACACCTGCGGCTTTCGGTTTCTTGAAGAAGCTGGAGACCTCCTGTCCACTGCTCCCCGCATCGGTGGATTGCTTTGTTGTGTTCTGTGATGCTCTCGGACGGCCGAGAGGAGAAATCCATGCACCGTCTTGCCCGCACAAGCGTGCAAGGCCCAAAGTACCTGGTGCGACTGTGACTGCTATCTTATAGTCTCGGGGGAGCATGAGTTTGTGCTGGGCGAAACTCGCTCGCTCCCCCACTCGCGGCTTGCTTTCGGATCAAGGCCTTTGGAGCAACGGTGTCAGCTCGTTTCCTGTCTTGAGATTCTTCAGGGTTCTTCAGATGAAGAGCTTGCAAGGGTAAATTCTAGCCAACGTTATGGAAATCGACACCCGGAAACCCTGAAACCCCGAAAGCTTCAACCAAGCTTTCCTAGTATTCAGCGAATGTAGGGTTTTTGTGTTAAAAGCTCAAAACAGTCCTCTTGCTCAAGCTAATCTAGCACTGGGTCCTTGCAACTACACCGGAAATGTCTTCTGTGCAAACGTGCTATGCTCTCAGCTCATATTTTACTCGGCCCGGGTTGAATAAGCCTCAGACCTCAAATCCCGAAACCGCAAACTCTAAAACCGCAAGTAAACACAGGCTTTGCGGTTTACTTTCCTAAGCACCCTAAGGTCCAAAACCATTCCCAAATCTGCACAGTCCAAATGCCTACAAACCCTGAAGCCGAAAAAGCTGCCAGGCACCGGAGTGAGTTCTCCAACTTGTTAACCTCGAACGCGCTTGCAGAGGTGCGCGGAAGATGGCCAGCTCCTGTAAGCCAGGCCAAGCGTGGCTTGTCTTGCGTAAGTTTGGGGCTTCATGGCCTCTTTTGGGACAGAAACTGTAGCAGTCAGCATCTCTGGTCCTCTGAGATGACAAGCTGGGCATTGAAGAAGGCTGCGACTGCCGTGATGCTATGCTATACTCGCATCACGCACGCAGCCTTGGCTTGGATTTTTTGCACATAGTTTGCATGGCAATCTTGAGTTTCGAGTTCACGAGTGGTGCCAACACAGATTTCCGAGGACTACATACAGAACATACTGCATGCAGCAGGCTGGCCTCCTATGCCGAGGCCTAAACTCTGTGCGTCTCAAGCCCCAATGCTAAACTATAAACCCCTCGGCACCTCAACACAGCACACGACCAACCACCCCGCCAAAAAAAAAAAAACACGCGTCCCAGCAACACCTCCCAGCGTCTTGTCCCGTCAAACGTCTCAAGGCGCTGATCTAAACCCTAAACCTTGCACCTCAAATGCCCTAAGCTCCTGACAACCCAAGCAGCCGGCCATGGCCAGGTGAGTCGAGAAACCAACGTGCTCCAAATCCCCATGGACGGCAAAGAAATGCTGGAGGGTTGGGGGCCGGGGGTCGTTGTGAATATCTCCTGGTCGTAAAGCACTTCTTAGTAGTTATCGAGTCTCCTTTGCAGAAGGGGAGGAAACTCCGGTCTCGGGTCTGGGGCTGTGATTCATGGACCAGGGTTGCAGCCAACATGCAGACCTTGGTTCGCAACTTGGGCTTCAGGGGAACTTTGCAGCGTCAGCTCCCTTGAGACATGGATTGGCTGATCTCGAAGCATCTAGGACGAGATCATCGCGGCTTGTTGCACGGAAAACCTTTGGGAAAGAACGAGGAAGCTGGCAAAGACTGTGCAAGTACTTTTCGGCTGCCCGCTACGAAATCGAAACTGTGCTCTTTGATGAAGCCACAGGCCGTAATCAGCCCGCAAGAAGCGACTAAAGCTACAAGTACAAGTACATTACTATTCCCTAAACCCGAAGCATCTTGAAGCTGTCTCTATCCAAGTCGGCGGACCAAACACTCCTCTTTGTCGCGCATGCATCTCAACTCCAAGCAAGCCGTAGATGCCCGTTGGCACACAATTGAAAAGGGAACCGCAATGGGGGGCGTGGAAGTAGCATGGAAGATTCCGACTCCTCCCCACGCGCAAGCATGCCCTAGGCCCTAGACGTGTGGGTCGATGCCCTCAACTAAGGAGACCTCCACGAGGTTCCGGCGCAACTTGAGGACTGAACGTAGCAACATAGCTACAAGAACCGCCAGCAACAGGGAAAGTATGGCAAAAAGCTTCGCAGCGAGCGTCCATTGTCCTGGCCTTGGTGCTGCACTGCAAAAGCACAGAACCCGGAGCTCAGGTCTGAGTCAAGTTGCGGGTCTGGGGCTCCTGGACTTGACATCACCGATCGTGATGCAACGAGTTGCAGGAGTCCTTTCGAACTACAAGACTCTTCAATCGGATTCGGGCGACACAGGGGCCGAGACACGCCGGCCTCCAAGGCGGTACCCTGCAAGAACGAACTGCTGCTCAGAAAACTCCTGCTGCAACAGACACATCCCGAACTGCAGGCTTATGCTGACGGACTGTGGTTGCAACATGTACCATGCTCCAGCCTTCACCCACGCTGCATAATCATCCGGAATGGGTGACTCTCGTGTAATGCCAGCGTACGCTCGCTCAACGCCATTGTTGAACGTGTCGTTAGACCACGAAAGGAATACTTGCTTGCAGACGTCGAACGGCTTGACAGTGGCAGCACGTCCGGCCAGCCTGTCTAACACAACTCTCCGTGGAGCAACTCACACGGGCAAAAACATGCAAAAACATGGACCTGCCCCAGATTTTGCTAAGCCAAGTTGCAGAGCATTCCAGCAGTCATGCAACTCATCCTCGACATAGCGGCCGGCGAAAGCAGGGGACGTTTTCGGATACTTGGCCACCAGGGCAGTTGCATTTGCTGTCAGCTGCTTGCGCACCTGGGTCTGCACCAGACTGCCGAAGCTTGTTGGGCTTCAGTGACGAAATTCGTGCAAGCACACGGGGCGTTGAGAAACAGCCAGCAAACTCGAGAGGAAGGATGGACTTCCAACTTAAAACTACCGATTCTCCTACATCTCCCACAGTACTTCTGTGACGAGGAGCGTTGGGGAGCACGAATACACAGCCTATCATCCGACAAAGAGACTAACTTACACATGCCTGCTGCGAGCTGACGATGTCAACATTCACATGTCTGCACATGTTTGACTGCTGTGCCGGAGGCCGAAGAATGTCCGACACTTACTGGTGCTGAATTCGCCGCGGCTGTTCCACACTTGTCGTCCTCCCTCGAAATGCATCTACCTCATCCGACTTGCGTGATCTGAGCTAGAAGATCGCTCTTGCCATACACTGAAACCAATGAACGAGACGGTGCAAGCCGGAAAGAGTTGCACGTGCACCTTTCGGTCAACCTCATTGACACATGAAAGGGGAACAGACATGCGAGTTTGAGGGCACTCTCGTTCACGGAACCGTTTGTTGTATATTTGTTCAGCCCTTGCTTCTTGCAGTCTGCTATTGATCTGCTTTTCGTCTTATCCTTGCAAACACACAGGAGCCACAAGGTCAGTCTTTTGGTACCGGAGAGCTCAGGAGCCAGTACCACGTGCGACCAAAAAACAAGAGGAACTCCGCTGCCCGTGAGGTAGGTTTCTCGTCATCTCTGGGCAATCTTGCACGCATTCAAGCAGCTCTCACGTGGCACTTGGCTCAAAATTCAGACATTATCGTAGCCACCACCTACCAGAGATATCCAAGGCTGCGAGCTGGTTTGTTCTTCTTTGTCTTGAGAACTGCCTCTTGTCAAACCTTCGACTCATGGATGCGAACCGCAAGCAAACAGACTGGAGTCAACCTCTTGCGTGGACATTGTCTGATGTTGATCGACAAGCTAGACAACCCTGCAAAGCAGGCACTTGCTGCTTCATAGTGGCAAACACGAACCACCTGAGGTCCTGTACCTGAGGGCCCAGCAGCGTCTATCTGCGGCGACCAGTTGACAACGTAGCTGCAAGCCCCAGAGTCCCAGTAGGCGTGCAGGTTGTTCGCACACGGACTTTCAATTGGGATCCTGCGGAGACTGCTCGCTTCCAGTTCTGTCACCTTTGAGCCTTGCGAGGTGCTTAACTATGTATGGAAGACAAAAAGAGCTACCATGAGCTATCGTAGTACTGTACCCGTTTTCCCAAGTTGGCAGACAACCCGTGGAGAGCCTGTTGCCGCCCAGATCACTGAACGGGAAGTGCCCAAGACGGTCGTTGTCAAAGTATCCATCACAACTGTGCAGCGGCTGATGGATGTCGCCCACAACATGCAGCAGCCAGCGAATGAAGAAGTTATGTGTGAAGCGAGAGTTGGAGCTGCCTCGGCTACTCCGAATCATGCAAGGAGACTAGTGGCTACAGGCTGAAGACATCTGAAATCTGAAGACAAGGGTATGGCAAACAGAACCAAGCTTCCCAAAGAGATGAAGCCAGATGTCATCGTGTACAGGGCAGATGGATTGTTCTGCCAATTATTGTTGCTGCCAGCTGGAAGCTTCATGTTGTCGGGATTGTACGGCCTTCCCTCAGCTGAGTTCACGACAGCGAGGCAGATTGACAAAAAGACAGAGCCCTGCCGGTGTGCGAACTTTGGTCTCGGAAACCCGTGGCCGCGGATCACAAAATGAAAACGCTAGAAAAGCTTGGACTCGGACAAACTACCAAAGACACAACTTTTCACGGACTGACGCACACGCCTTTTGCACGAAAGTGACTCCCACCTGGTGCACAAGCACAGGTCCACGAACATCGAGAAGGGGGGACTCTCGTGGTGGCGGCGGAATCGGCCAGGTAACAGTCGTCCCCCTCGAACAATTCCATTTCGTTGGCAGGAAAAAAGTAGGGCACGCACTTCGCCAAGAGTCACCCTACCTTGACAAAAGGAAATGCGCAAACACGCATGCTGCAGTTCATGAAGAAGGAACCGCGGAATGGCAACAAGGGCGGCGTCCCTGAGCGGCAATTGCTGACGATTACCTGTTGTAGCCTTCATTTTTTGTTTCTGCTCAAGAGGTGAGATATGCAATTCGATAGCCGACTGCAGTCAGTAGATAATTAACCAAATGGTTGCACGACAGCAGACAGCTCTGCAAGCGCTCTCATTGCAACACCAACGCAACATCCTGCAATGGTGTTTATCTTGAGCATTCTGTGAACACTCTGCCTCTCTAAACACTGCAGCACGAGTCAGAGGGCCGTAGGAGCGTTCTTTTGATCTCATCTCGTGCATGACCCTCTCATGCCAGTCTGAGAGTCGTTGAAGTGCCAGTTGTCAAAGATGTGCATGTTATCAATCACGTCCTGCACAGGACTGTATGTGTTGCTGAGCTGGAGGACGGTTGAAACCTCTTTGCGTGCCCCGGCGCACCGTGCGGCAGTATCTGCCGGAGCACTTGATCAGGTCTGGCCAGAGTGCTGCCGTGACCACGTCGGAGGCTGCCGGATAGTCGAGTGAAAAGTCCTGCAGCTACAGCTCTCTGCCACTCCTCTCTTGCTGATGCCAGGACCGACACATGCAGTTCCCTGCAACCCAGCTCGGAATTCCTCGGCACATTCGAATCACAATCCTGCAAGATTTCGTCGAGGTGGGTCAGCTGCTGCGACGTCAGCTGCTGCCTGGCGACTTCAGCCTGAGAACACAGGATCTTCAGAACCGAACCCAACAGCATCAGCCCTGGCGGATATCTCGCCCAGGTGCCACCATCATGTGGCCATGGTCCCACCACGCGTTCGCTGAAGACAGCAATGTGAAGGCAATCAGCAGCATGGCGTCGACAAACGCGGGTTTATGAAGCTGACGGATGAGTCAATGTTCGAGTATGGGTATGAGAAGAAAGAGAGACTGGGAGTTTGTCGAATCTAGTATCCGTTTGACTGCGGAGGCGAAAGTCGGAATCTCCGCGGACAAGTCTACTAGGAATACGCAGGTGACGGCATCTGGGCTGTCGGACTCATGAATGACAAAGCGTCTGATGCAAGGCTTATGGGCCCAAGCTGTTGCAGCCGACTGCGACTTGCTTGAATTTCAACCCTCGTGGTGGCCGGAGAAGTTGCTCAGACCTTGCCACAGGTATTGAAGACAATGAAAACACCAGGAAGTCAAGTGCTATAAGTATCATATCTATCAATGAAACTTTCCGGCAAGTCTGAACACCGCTTTAACCCTCTGGGACTGAGATCACAGAGTGTCGACGCCAAGTCTGCCCTCTTCTGAATCGGATTTTCTGGGGCCGATGCCTCGCTGTCTGGGCTGGGGGTCAACCTACGACTACGTAGTCACTACGTAGTCACTACATCACCTTCGTGGTTTGCACGAGATCTGGCGGAAAGTCAGAAAGCTTGATAGTGATGTGACATCTCAGTGCAGGGCGTGCGTACTGGCATACCTACGACTATGTCATCACACGCTGACCACATCTCGCGCCCGAGAAAGCTTAGTTGGAAAATTCCCACACAGCAACCTCTGCATCATCGCCTGCCTGAAGCCAAGAGAGCACAGAATGTGTCAATGTCACATACGGACTGACGGACGGGCACCGTGCTCACTCAAGGCCCGGGCAGTTGCGAGGAAGGTCCGGCCAGCAAACCTGATCTGCCAGGGCATTGATACACAGCAGCACATGTGACAGGTAACGAGGTGCGCCACGCAGGGCGATGCTGCGAGATGGAATCTGGGGACGACACTGAGATTCTCCGGGGCACCACGCGACGCAATTGACGTCTCCTTCATGAGCTACTTCCTGGCAGTCAGGGGGCCATCGTAAAGGGGATAGTCTGCCTGAGTAGTAACTCAGGGGACCCGCATCCAAACGCAAAAGGGAAGAGCATCACGACTGCTCATGACAAGACATGTCAGGCCGGCATTTGCTATACAGGCCCATTCCAACAGGCTCGATGCGTCCTGGGATAATTGAGTACGGCTACATTATCATTCTACATGCAAACCCCTGGACAGTACACGACACGCAGAAAGCAGCCGCATATGAGCAAAAACATGTTGATGGCTCGCACCCTGTCTTCTTCTGCAGCCAGGGCTGTGGCCCCGCCACAGGCTCTAATGGCTGAATTAAAGGTAATGTCATCGCACAGCGCGAACTTTTGGGCAGTGTCAACCTGTGACAGGGCCGCTTGCCATACGGCCGCCTTCTGGCACGCGCTTGCAACTGAGTTGTAGGTTACTTGAGTCTGCTGCAAGCCGACGTACCCCATTCGGCTCAGCAGCAGGAGTGCATTCTGCCACTTGGCTGATTTCTCGTAGGCACTTATCATGGCATTGCAGGAAATGGTATCGACTGACTGGGATGTCGCAGCTGCACTAAACAGCATCAATCCGCGTCTCCATTCTTTGGCTTTCTCGCATGCACTGATCGTTGCACTGCAAGCCACTGTATTGCAGCGAATCTGAAGGCTGGCCATTTCCTGGATCAGCAGAAGAGCCTGCCGCCATCGATGGCACTTTTCAAGAGAACTGATCACTGAACTGTAGCTGACTACGTCGCATTGGATATGCCGGGATGCCATATGCGATAACAGAAGAAGGCTAAGCTGCCACTCCAAAGCCTTCCCACACGCACTGATTGCTGCGTTGCATGAGACGACATCCGGCTCCAGCCAGCCGTCGCCTATTAGCTGAAGCAACCACACGGCCGATTTCCATTCTGAAGCCTTCTCGCAAGTGCTCATGGCTGCATTGTATGTGATGAGGTTTGGCACCAGCTGCTGCGAAGCTGCCTGTCGCAGAAAATGCAAAGCGTGGTGCCACTCCGAGGCGCCGTCGCATGCAGTGATAGCAGCATTGAGAGTGACTACGTTTGACTGAAGGTGCACCAAGCAACGCTCGAAAAGAAGGGCTGCTGTCTGCCATGAAGAGGCTTTGCCAAATGTGTTTATGCATGCATTCTTTGACACAGTGTCCGGTTGCAGCTGCTTCACAAAACTGTTCTCTCCAAGGCAGATGGCTACTCGCCAGGCTGCTTCTGCGGCCACATGGCTCACAGCGGCATTGTGCATTATCAGGCTTGGCTCCATTTTGTGATGTTCTAGCTCAGCCAGTAGGTGTAGCACTCTTTGCCAAGCTCCGCGCTGCTCCTTGAACAGGAGGGATCCGAAAGATATCTGATTCAGTCGAATTTGCAGACTCCGAACCCTGGAGAAAAGGAAGCATGCCACCGGCCAGTGTGCATGTCCACAGGCGCGCAGAGCTGCCGTGTGAGTGACTGTACTCGTTCGCAAAGTGGCTCCCGTCATTCTGTGCAGCAGAAGGGCGGCTTGCTTCCATGCTGTCGCCGTCTTGCAAGCAGAAATTGCACGGTTGTAAGAGATGGAGTCAACTTGCACTTCCGCAGCCTCGTGCAGTAGATGAACAGCATCCTTCCAGTCGGTCCCACACTTGCTGACTTTGTGGACAGCGACCGGCTGTAGTCGCTGTGCCGGTAGATCATGGGCTCGAGCGCATCCCATGTTCACATGATTCTTCTAGCAGAATCCTAGATGATCGCGCGACAAATCAGTTTGCACTCATGACTTACAATACACGAACCGCAACAGATGGAAACAATCGCACAGCGATGGCCGTCTGAGGATAAAGCACAGCCTCCGAGTGCAAAGCATGCAAGCGAGCATGACGCGTCATGAGTATGGCGAGGAGGGATGTCACTAATTCTATGCGCTTGATTGTCCGACGCCTTGGAGCATGCTCATTCCGGGAAGGTTGTGTTTGCGAGCCAGGCAGGGAAGTCATCAAAAAGCTGACACCACCACGCTTCGAAACTTCGATTCGGATTCGGCTCTTACAAGCTCGGGCCCGGCGGCTCCTCTGGCCGGAAGATGCGGAGCCGATTGTCTCCGCAGGCAGAGGCCAGGAAGTCGCTGCATGACCAATCCGTGCAGTAGACCTGCGAGGATACAAAGAACCTCTTGGGTACACTGAGCTCTCAATCCATGCATCGTAGTCCAGTCACTTTACGAGGCTGGTCTAGTCAAGCATCGACTGAACAAGACTTTTTCTTCGGGGAATGTGGTACCGGAGTCTGCAGATGCAGGAGACAGCTTCTACTTTGCGGTTTACCGGCGCTCATGCGCGTCGCGTGTTTTGTGCTGCTTCACCAAAGATTGCTGGGGAAGGTGGAAAGGGCTCGGTACTGTATGCGTCTTCTTCAACGATATAATATCGCTGCCTCGAAATATGAAACTACTGCAGCATCGCGTAGCATCACACACACACACACAGAGCGGGTTTTCTGCACATCTTGGCCATATTCGTTATTGTGCGGGGCATGGACAAGTATGTAGGTCGCACTTGCACTTTCTGAAGTCTGAGACGCAAGCTGGTCGAGGATGTTGATCCTTGATGACGCTGACCTGGATTAAGGGCAATTGCCTGGCAACTGCACGTTCCCATTCCCCTCACCTCCCGCCCTCCTTTCCTGCACCTCCCCAGCAGGAGGAAGAGGCTCGAAAGCAGGGGCACTACTCGAGGCAGTTCTTGGAGGACACGTTGAAGGCACTCTGTCCAGAGTCGAGACAAGGTGACCAGGGCCCGATTACTTTTCCACTGCACCGGGTGTAGAAGGGGGACCTGTTGATGCAAGTACCTCCTAAAACACGCTCACTGCAAGTGGACCAGGGACGCTGCACACGCCCAGCCGCAGCAGGCGTCGTTGGGCGCTGATCTGCAAGTGCTTCAGGCATCTTTATTTTACATCGCTCGGAACGACCGCACAACATGGTCCGCTGCGGTGCCTCTATCGACTGTGGCTGGCAAAGGCTAGCGTGGGACTGGATAGGGTTTAACTGCATACCATGATACGGCTCGGGGCAGCAAGGAGCATCATAACTGCTACAAGATCCTGTCTTGCCTCAGCGAGATATAGCGAGATCAAGTAGAATCATGTATTATTTGAGCATGCGCATCACACTTATCGACTTGTCCCAAAGCCTGCAAGCTTTGTGGCCTGAAGTTGTAGCCTCAGTGCAGCGGCTGAAGGCAGCCAAGGGCCAAAGGCCGGATTTATCCACTGAAAAGCAGAAATTTTGTGGACGTCGCAATGAAGATGTGCTGGTTGCTGGAGAGCCGCAGCCTCACTGCTGCCGTTGGCCACTGGCTGTGTGACAGCTTGCCTGGTGCAGGTTGGCAGCACTTGATGTCACTGAAGGGGACAATCGTCGAAGGTCAGCCAAGCTCTGCCAATTTGTGAAAATCAGGCTCTCGCCGAGCCCTTCTGCACAAGGTGGGGCCCCGGCGGCGGCGCAGCAGACGAAGAGGCCGGTTTGACCAAAGCTCCTGTGCCGTCCGGCTGCAATCGCCATCGTTTACGTGATGCAATGCAGTCGCAGATGCTGTTCAGATGCGGGGTGGGTCTCCTCGAAAAAGTGGCCTGACAGACTGGGCGAAGAGCAAGTCTTCAGCACCTCACCAATCAGGGGCAAACGAGGTTGGGGTCAACGATGGCCGATCGTACTTGAGTCCCAGGCTTGCTGTTGTGACTTCAACTTGTTCAGCCTTCAAGGGGGCACGACTGTGATCCGACACTTCAGCGATTTCCAGTAAACACATTTAAAAACTGAAAGGGGCAACACAGGGTTGCGCGTGACTGTCCGACTGTCCCTGTTCATTCCAGCCCAGCGCTGTTCAAAGGCCATGTTGTGACATGGGTCACCATGACGGGCAGCTCCTGTTTGACAGGCTCTGTGCTGTGGCTTTCCACGGGCCTCCGGCATGGGCGTGGCAAGCAGCATGGCCCAACAAGCGAGTCCAATTCTGTGGATCCCTGCTCCCCTGTTCTTGCCTGAAGCCTGCTGGAAGGGTTGCAGAGGGAGCCCAGATCCGCAAGGTCCCATCGTCGGAACCTGGGGAAGCAGATGGAGCGAGCTTACTTTGTGTTTACACTCGTCTACAGACTCGGAACATCCGGTTGCCACGCTCGTCTGTCTGACCGAGTTTCGACGGCTTGTGAGAGTTGTGATAGTCTTGTCCAGTAAGGCGAAGGCAGGACGCGAAATGCGATCCTTTGCTGTCGAAGCTCATGGACCAAACCTGGCAACAGTAGTTTGCATGCAGGATGCTGCAGGTGCTCAAATCTTCACGAAGCTGATAAGACCATACATGGGCGGAATTGCTGAATTTTGCTGCAACTGCTGTGCCCTCTGGCAAGCACTGATCGCAGAGCTAAAGGAAATCTCAGTGGACTCCAGTTTGCTATTGATTAGCTCTAGGAGCAGATGAAGCGCCATCTCCCACTCAGCCGATTTCTCACAGGCGCTGATCGCCGCATTGAAAGTGATCACAGATGCTTGGATGGTCTGAGCGGGCAGACTTCTGAGCAAACTTAGGGCCTGCTGCCAGACGGAACCTTTCTCACAGGCACTCACGAGGCTGCTGTACGTGATCACGTCGGGTTGGAGGGAACGAGAAAGAAGCAGCGAAAGGAGACTCAGGGCTGCGGTCCAGTTTGCAGCTCTCTCGCAAGCAGTGATGGCTGCGTTGTACAGAATAATGTCTACTTGCAGCGCTTCGCCTTCGGGAATCTGCAGCAAGACCAAAGCCATCTGCCACATGGAGGACCATCCGAGTGCACATATAGCCGCACTGTAACTAATCACACTCGGGGCGATTCGCTTCTCCTGAAGCTTTCCGAAAAGGAGCAGCGCAAGCTGCCACTGCTGGGCCTTCTCGCAGCTACTGATAGCCGAGTTGTAGGTGACCACGTCAGGCTGAAGCTCATTGCGGACATTCTGCATGTCCAACATCAATGATATTACCATCTGCCAAGCATTCATCTGTTCACAAACGCTCAGCATGCTGTTGAAAGCAATCTCGTTGGGTCGCAGGTGCTGGCAGCTTTGCATAGAAAGGAGTGCGAGTGAGCAGACCCAGTCCTGCTGCGACTCATGCACAGCTGCTCCAATGCCAGCATTGAAAGAAACAGCATCAGCTTCCAGAAGGAGGCAGGACGTAGTCGTCAACAGATAGAATGCTCGCGGCCACGCTGACTTGCGACATGCGCTGATTGCAGTATTGAGCGTGAAGATACTGGCCTGTATGTTCTTGCTGAACATGGTGCGTGTCAAGGCAACCGCATGCTGCCACTCTACGGCTGCACCGCACGCTGCAGCAACAGCACTGTACGATATGACGTCTGTGCGCAGCTGCCGCTTTTCGATGTCGGCCACGAGCAGAAGTGATCGCTTCCAACATGTCGATTTCTCGCAGCTGCTGATTACCGCATTGTAGAATACCTCATTCGGCCAGACGGTACAGACCCGGGCCTTGGTCAGGAAATGAAGAGCCCACTGCCATTGCGATGCTTTTCCACAAACATTCGCCGAAGAGCAGAACGTCACGACATCTGGTTCCAGCTGCTCTTCTTCCATGGTGCTCAAGCATTTCAAGACCTGCTGCCACTGGCTTCTGCATCGACTGATGGCCTTGTTGCACAGGACAACTTCAGGCCGTGAAAGGCAGAACTCTTGCTGTGCTTCTTGTGACATGGAAAAGATGAGCAAGACTGCCTGACCGTCGCTGGAAAGTTGCAGTGGGCCGAGGAGGAGCTAAACCTGTCTTCAGGTGGCCGAACATGATCTGTCCGGATTTGGTGGGAGTATCCGGTTAACCCGAAAACTTGAAGTCTTTCAGAACTCGAACGAGAAGATGTCAGGTTCAGTGTGCGGTCCCTTGCTCATTTGTCTGGCCCATCTGCGGCTGAAAATCCACCTCTAGCAGCGGAGCTTCGAGGCTGGACTCTGACCATGCCAATGTCCGCAGTCCGGCTGACCGTTCAACAAGTAACCGAGCTTGGCTGAAACTGCTGCGATTCGATTGCTTGTATCCAAGCTGAATGAGTCTGCGAGATTGCGCACATGCACAAAGCGCATCAAAGCGCTCACACACGCGCAGAGACATACCGGTATTGACATAGTCATACAGGCAGGTGCAAGCGTTCAGACATGCACACCTGCATGCACGCATACATAATGCGTACATACATACATACATACATACATACATGCATGCATGCATGCATGCATACATACATACCTGCACACATACATACATGCGTACATACATACTTATACTTACTTCCTTACAGACTTACATAGATACACAGATGCATAAACAACTGTGTATGAGTATACATCTGCTGTGCACACAGCGCCCACGGGTCTGCCAATGTAAATGGTACAGATCGTACAGCGACACTTGACGACCCTCTGACCGGAGCGAGTCAAGAACGACAACTCGCCGATGGAGCTGTGCTGCCGTGGCCCTCCATGGTCTCTTTGCAGCACCAATCGTCTCCGTCGGGGCCCCAGACCTGAGCACGGAGAGCAGAGATTTTCAAGTTTCACCTTTGGCTCGGCTGGCCTTGATCGTGTCGTCGTAAGAGCACGAAAAGAGCACCTCCTGTTGAGGATGCCATCTCACGGCCTTGACGTCCTGTCCAGGGCAGGGCATATCATCATTGGCTCCATTCTGGCAGTGCACGGCTCGCTTCAAGAGGGTGCGTCGCCTGGGTGTGGGACTGAAGCAGCGCCACGCACTCGTACTCATCGGTCTCCTCCGAGTCATACACCCAGACCTGGCACAGCTCAGGACTTCAGTTTAACACCAGCGTCTTGCTCAGGCCAATATAGGCCAGGTCTGCAGAGCGATCACCTGGAGCTAGACGAACCAACACCGCTGAAGCCGTGTGAGTCCGAGTTTCCCTCTGAGGTTGGGGCGGCTGCAAGAAGCAAACAAATTGCCTGAGGGACTGAAAGCCACGGACCTGAGTCGGAAGCACGGAGCTTGCTGAAAGAATCATGACCATCCGAATCGAGACTGGAGTAGTCATAAGATCTGATTTGAAAGGCAACGGCATTTGGCAAGTTGTTGGGAGGGGTCACTTCAGAAGCAGCATGCAACACTTATAATAAGCAGCTGCTCGCACTCAGTGGATCCTTCTTTCAAGCGCAGCCATGGCCTTCAAGGCAGCCCTGTGCAGCCTGAGTCCACAGCTTGACTTCGTTTTCATGGCCGCTCAGCACGGTCATGCAGTCAAACTCAATTCTGCCTGACAAGTTCACAGCGAGAACAAGGAAACTCAATGTTGCAGGGAATACGTCGAGCGCCTCGAGTGTCGGTCCCTGGAATAACTCTCCAGACCGAAATGCTGGCCTCATGCCGGGAGTCATAGAATCCGCCCATCCCGGCTGACAGGCACCAAGGCTTGGACATCAAACGAAGCTGCTGCCAGAAGCTTGCCGCAAGGGCTCCACTGCAGACAGAGTGTTCTACGACTACGAGTCTCAACACGCTTAATGGTAAGGTATCGCGAGGCACCGTCACATGTGTTTGCAAAGACCCCTGATTGATCTGCGCACCGCAAGAGAGCGCAGCGTGCGAGAGTGGCGCTCGGAGACGTCAATCTCCTGAGAGAGGGCCCAAGATTCCTCGGCTGTGTGTGTCCCACAGGATGACAAACCAAACTGAAAGACTCTACAGGGTCTGGCTTTCTGCACATGATTAATCAGTAATGCAGCAATGCATGCACAGGTCTTGATGTCTGTGTGCTTGTTTCCAGCAGCCGGCTGCAATGTTTCGGACGACTGCTCATGGTCTGCAAGAGTTTGCAGGGCTGAGCATCTGGCCTGGTGTCCGGGGTCTCTGGTGCCACATGTCCAGATGCGAATGGTCAGATCCGATCCTGATTTTGACGTGGGTGCTGCCCAAGAGCACCGAAGCACTGCACAATAACCAGCAGGCCTGACGAGGCGAACATCAGCCTTCAACCAGCAAGAAAAAAGCTGCTGGCCGGGATTTACAGACTGTAGCCCATATTATGCTCGAAGCGACTTGACATCCTTGTTTGAGCCGCCGGCTTGGGCGAACTGGGTCTCCATGCCACGTACCATGCGCGCTCGTCGTGACCCCTGCGACGGGCCAGGCCAAGGCAAGTAAACATGCTATTATATGCTTCACACTGGCATGAGAACAATCTCAGGCGGGCCGGTCGAGATTTGTGAATGAGCAATGCAATCGGCATCCTGCCTAAGAGAACACACCTTCCGCAAGGACGGAGCCGCCATCGCGCCGCAATTGCACGTGATGGCAGCGTGCTAGATTGCTGAGGACTGTCTCGCTCGATATCGGCTGTGCAGATCTTTGTCCCACGATGGACCACCTGAGACCCTGGCTTCAACACTTTCATTGAAACTGTCGGCTCAAAGGCGACCCTTTGCTGAACTGGCGACATGTCCTGCCACTTGCATGCGCAATCCGGATACAGCTTGCTCCGAGACCAACACCAGGGACGATCTGCCGCATGTGCATTATGCATTGCGAGGAGACCTTTCGCCCAGAGTCACATCTGCATTTGCCGACCCACCGCGTGGATAACCGACTGCGTTCGGTTGCATCAGGCATGTCAGCATACCAGATTGTGTTTTGTTGATGTAGGCTGCCCAAGCAAGTTTGAAATATAAATTGAGTTCGGATGCGTTGTCATAAAAAAGCACTGAACGAGGGCAACGAGGGTGGCAAAGCTCGCTCCTCAATGCAAAAAAGCGACTCTGAATCGTTTGTTTACAATCCGACAAACTCGTCTAGGCTTGTCCTTGCGGATAACGTGAAACAGTCTTAGGCGATGCTGCTGTCTTCAGTTGTGCAGATGTACGCTGCGGCTATGTTGCCGAATGATAGCGGATCTGCCGTCTGTTGTACTGACACTTTGACGGGGGGAGGGAGGGGCAGGCGCGGGCCACCAGAAGGGGGCTCGAGGCTTCTGTACGTGAATCGTTGTCCTTGCAACCCCTCATTGACAGTGTCGACGCTCGACCGTCTTGTTCGACTTCAATGGCGACGAAACCAACGTCGCTCTGTATGTATGTCACGGCGGCAAAGGGTGGGACAGGATCGCTGAAGGGGTTTAAATAAAAATTCGATACAAGTAAACTGGGTTGCTTTAACATCTTCTCACACACCCAATCAGCATTTTTTCTCACCGCTGCCATCTCCAAGCGTGGCCATCTCCAGGTCCCTCCGACGCATGCACATCCAGCAGTTGGTTTTCTGCAGCAGCTGCCCAAGGCCTTTGGCCTCACGTTCAAGCGAAAAGCTAACGACCACGCACATACACCACCTGTGTATATTTGGCACAGACAGGCAGACGGACGGACGGACAGACGCACATACACGTTACGCATATGTTCATGTGCTATGTTGGGATAGTGCGGTCTCGTCGCAGAGCCGTCTGTGAGCATGTATGCTGCCGTCCGCCCAACCTGGCAGACACTCCGGTGACTTCTCGGCCTTTGTGGTTTTGTGCTCAACATGCCTTGTACAGTTCGGTGTTCAGCTTGCCGCCGAGGAAGCCGCATGGGGTTGCTAGCCTCACCCACGGGCTGCTCGGAACCTGGCGGGATCTTCGGCCAGGCATCGTGCAACGCCCGACTGCCCCACGGCCTCCTCTGCGACAGCGAGCATTTGGCCTTTGCCGAAGACCTCCGCTCTGCATCGCTCTGCATCGCTCTGCATCGCTCTGCATCGCTCTGCAGCTCTTGGGGAGAGGCAGATTCGAGTTTGCGCACATTCTCCGTGCCTCCAGGACCTGAGCCTCCAAGTCGGGGCGTTCGCGCGCCACCACGACCGAATGGAGCACTCGCCAGAGCTGCACTTCACAAAGCTCCTGCGGGGTGCTCGGCCCAAATGCTTTTATCGCTTCCACTTACCTCTGAATGCATGACGCTTCCGCCCGGTGGTGCTCCTGGTCTGCCAAAGTCGCAGGCAGTCTCAGTCTCAGCGCCTAGCATGTTCCTACGTGCTGCTGACGCCTGTGAGGCGGTTCAAACGTTGCTGCGCCTCTCGCGGGTTCGCAGTCAGTAGGCTTTCTGGAGTTGTTGCTTTGACTCCGGGGACTGCCAGGCGAGCTGCCACCTTGGCATCGAAAAAGGATGCTGCTTCGGCCACCATCAGGTTCTTCCGCAGACCCAGCCTCTCCCAGGACATCCAGAGCTTGCGCAGAAGAGCGGTTCAGTGTGGTCACGCCATGCAGGTCAAGCATGGCGCAGGCTAATGCCTCCACTGGCCATGCAAGAGTGCATAGTACTTCTGCTAGCGATGCTTTGCGACACAGATCGACACAGCAACACAAAGATCAAAGATCGTGCTCCAGTTCTGCATTGCCACGGGACTGCACCCTTGACGGCCTCTCCGATGCTCTCCCACTCGTAAACACCATAGGGCACCTGGCGATGGTCTACGGCCCACGAGCGCCTTCCAAGCCTTTTGAAAACCAATTGAAACGAGAACTGCTGTGATTGCGCAGCTGCCTGAACTGATGTACGCTGTGGCATAACGTAACAGCTCGCAAGAGAAATATGTGGTACGCGGGTGCATGCGGCATAACGGCATAACCCAGCCTGGCAAACAAACCTTGGCTGCAAGATGCTATCACCACCACAGCTCGCCAGAACAAGGCTGTTTGATGTTTGCGTGCATGTGTGCAGCAAGGTCACGGAACATGCATTCCAGGATGAGTCGGCCTCCCGTGCAAGCAGCTGAGCTCTTCCACCGGATGGGCCTTAGCACGTGCGTCCCGTCCGCTTACCGCCACCCAATCGCAGAAATGGCTGAGGGGTCCCACCTGTCGACCGATGCTGTAGTGGCACTCCAACCTGTGCGGCTCGGAATTGTGCATTGCAATGGTCATGTCTCGCAGCGACACCTTCTATGTGGGGATCGCGCGCACCGACATGACAAAAACGCACCTCGAGATGCAGTGTTTCCCTTGTTTTGGCCAGGTCGGCGCCTGATTTTTGGTATGTCGGCAGAATCTATTTGGCATGTCGGTGGAAGCATCGTTTTTGCCATGTCGGCACGGCTTGTTTCGCAGCACGTAGTTTTCGCATGTCGGCGCATTTTGTTGTTTTGCCGAGTGGCATGTAATTTTTGGCATGGCCGTGCATGACGTTTACCGTGTCGGTGGACATCTAGTAATCTAGTTTTTACATGGCCTTACATGTTTTACATATTTCGGTGCGTTTTTTGACATGTCGGCGCGTGGCGCCCAATGTAGCACAGGCCAAGCTGTGCGTGTGGATTGCACGTGGTGAGCCCACTGCAGCTGGTCTAGACTAGAATCAGTCAAGCAGCGTGTAAGCATGACCTGAGTTCAGCAAGCTTGTGCCATCACAAATCAGATTCTCGACATGCGATACGAGACTGCCTGAGGATTATTTAGTTCACTACCAGTGGCTGTCAAGCAGCTCACATTGCACATGGCCGCTACCGATGCCCGACCGCAGTTCTCGTTGCTGTCGTGTCCGTGCTCCTACATCCAAGAAATCCCGGGCTCGATGGCACTCTGCGAAACCCACGTAAATGATCTTTCGTGCACTGCTGACGACGCGCAACTCACGGCCGAGCTTGAAAATGCATCATATCGCCTAGACCTCGGCCTAGAATCCGAGAGTGAGAAGCGCGCAGGGACCTTGTCAGACGTCGGAGGGAACTCGCAGCCCTCGAAGTCGAAATGGGGACCATTCAGCTCGCAGATGCGCGCAAAAGCAACGTTCCAGACCTGCAAACCGAAGCGAGCGCAAAACATCCCACCAGATCTCGCGAAGCCAGCCTGTGCAGCACCCGACAAGCGATTGCCGTACAGAATGCAGCCGCGTGTATGGGCATGTGCATGCATGTCCAGGTAGAAGAGAAGTCGACCTGATACGCTGCTCTGCAGCAGCTCCCGTCACTTCACGCAGCTCACGCTTTCACGCCTTCGCTTGCCCAGTGCTTGAGCCACTCGAGCGCCCAAAAGACACCTTTGCGCCGAATGGAACAGTCACACCAGCATGCAGCATTGTGATGTAGTTAGTTCACTGACAATCAGTGAGGGAAAGGTGCAGCAGCCAAGCCTTCATGTTCTCTAGGATTCGCATCGCCGTAACAACGATTCAGGTCAAGCCCGCCAGCATTTGCCCTGGTGTGGCCCCTGTCAAAGAAATTGATGAATGTGTCGCGGTCACGAAGCCCTCTCCTTATCTCTCCTACGAAGAACCACCCCATGCAACTCATGGCTATACTGCTATACTGCTGTACTGTCTTCAGCTTTCGTCCTGCAGAGCCTCGCCACCCCATCTGGGTTAAGCATAGGGACTAGCTTGAAGACGAATTGCCGCCGCAGCAGTTCAGCACGCGGATCATCAGACAGCAGGAATCGCAGAAGTCCGAAGAAAGCGAACTGGCCTCACAAAGTCGGAAGAAGAAGCCTCTAAAATATGCTGCCTCAAAGACATGGCGAGCCCTGAAGCCCTCTCGGGCCTGGCGTTTCTCCGGGATGGACCCGGGCAGAGACGAAGACGATGGGCCTTTGAGGGAACAGCTCCGCGGGGCTCTCGCCGTCCACCGCGACAGAGCTGCTCAAGAAACCTTACATCTGCTGACGTCTGTTTTGTGGGCCTGGATGGGTTGGGTCAGGACTGAACTGCTCCAAGCAGCTCGGTGGTGAAGTCTCAACGCAAACTTTGGCGTTCAGCTCAGACTCAGAGAGCTCGGAGACGGTGAGCAAGTCAACCCTCCGGCCCTCTCTCGTTAGGCACAGGCGCTGCCTGTGAAGGTAGATGTTTGAGCCAGACACGGGGTTCCAGGATTCGTCGGTGCCGTTCAGCATGGGCAGGGCCGGACCAGCTTCAGGCGTAGCTTCGGGTGCCTCTTGCGGGGCCTGCGAAACCTCCGGCTCAGGGCCCTTGAAGCCGTTGGGGAACTCATAGCCTTGGATCCGTGTGCTTGCTGCGTGGACCTACGATTACGAAGAAAAGCTACTTCATGGACGGAAAACTACGGACTATTACAGTATCCTAACAACATGTGAGCGGCCGACCATCAACAAATGGGTTCTTTGATTCAGCCGCTCCGTATCACCAAAAGGCGTCATAAGGCGCTCCGAGTTGGGCATGCGCTTCACAAGCTTTACTTGCGAAAGCTTCCCCAAACCCAGGACCTCAACGATTGACTGCCTTACTTGCAGCATGGTGGAATCCTTCCGCACCCACAGCGTCATCTTCCTGTCGTCAACTGCCCCATGTTCGATGGTGATCTTCACCTTCTTCGGCTTTACCGGAGAGGAGGTTCGGGCAGCCAAAGTGCCGGAACCGCCACCATGAATTTCAATCGCTTCCATGTAGGCTGGCAACTTCTTCCCCTTCGTCGGGGGCTGTGCGAAAAATTGTTCAAGGCGATTCAAATAGCCTTGCAGGTCTGCATATGTATACGGTGGGGAGAAGGCGAAGTACGTCGTCGCCGACCCGGGCTCCAGAACGTAATCCCATGCAATGTAGCAGCTTTTGCCACGCTTCCTTGGTGGCTCGGGCCCACTGTCCAACATCGCGCGAATCTTCGGCAAGAGTCGCTCATCTTTCTGGCATTGCTCACTCCTTGTATCCACCTGAATGGGGAGAGCTTCTCGCGTGCTCAGGGCTCCCGAAACACATCGGATCACATCTGCACTGAGATGCAGGCGGGTTTGGCGTCATCCGCCTGGCCAGGCTCCTGCCATGGATCAGGCATGCAGAAACACCTCTGCAACGGACTCCGACTATTTGTGCCGCCTCGAATCGCAAAAGCACACCTCGACCGGCGAGCGGTGCAGCAAATACTGCCCTGTGTCACCCGACGCAGTTCATGCTGACCCTGGTACACAAAAGCTGAGTCGACGAGTGCAGCGCCAGCGTCACTTCGGCTTCAATTTGCGAGGGGACATGTCCAAAAGCGCTCAACGGATAGTCCGTGTTTCAAGTCATCCTGGCATCAGCCCTTCTCCCTCTTCACGCCAGTTTATGTCAATGTGCAAATCTGTGTAACAATACTGGTCAATACACAATGTCTGCTGCCTCCACCAATCATGCTCGTGCAATCGCAACGGGCAGATGCATAAAATGCTTGCAGATGATGCATACGCGGGTCTGCACACGACAAATTCTGGGCTTAATGAAGTGAAAGTTCCAAAGTTGTTCTGTTGAAGAGCTTGAACTCAACCGCCTGCAACACCTGATTACCTGGCTACTTGACTGATAAATGAAGCCAACTGGGCTAAGTGTTCAACTGGACCAGGCAGAGGCCTCCTGGCAGGAGAAATTGCAGGACTCATCTGCCAGACGTCGCCATGCCGGCGAACCAGGCAGCTTGCGAAGGAAAGGCCGGTGGCCGTCCAAGTTGTAAAGGTCGAGCATGTTGCTCATGTTGTTCACCTGAAATGTGTACGGTGGCCAGCTAATCCGACAGTTCGAACGGTCCCTGTTTGTCCTTGAAGTGCCACGCTCGATGAATCCGTTGCCCTCCCTTTGCCGGCGAGTCACAACAAATCGCACCTTCTGAGGGGAGTCGAGAACCGAGCGCACGCCAAAGTAGAACCAGCGCCGGCGGCCAGTGGATTCGGTACCTTTGTCAGGCTTATAAGGATCTACTCCCCCAGGAGAGCTGAGCCATGGTCGGAGTCGGGGCTGTCAAGGCGCCGTCGGATGGGTCGGCACGCAGCACCACATGCACGAGCTCCGGCCCCTCTTCCTCCGGTCGCTCTGCTCGGCTGCCTGTCTGGTAGAATGCCGAGCTCAAGACTCTTGCGCAGAGCACATGCCCCGACTCCTGGACCTAGTCTCACCAACCGCACAACCACTCTTCGAGATTGCCGTGTCGGGGTCCTTAAAAATTGAAATGCCTTGACGCATGGACTCAGCTCGGTGTGAACTTGAAATATCATGCTGTCGGTTGAAGGGCGCTGAGAGTGCTGCAAGTCAGCTCGGTATGTCAGTAGCAGCATCTATTCTACTTCGAAGGCTGCGTGCACTCGTGTCCAAGATCGTTAGAGCGTGTTGAACATCCCGCCGTCAGGACGGCGGTTCGAGGCTTCCGCACGCACGCGACACGCGTAAGATGTTGCTGCTGGCATGTCACATCCCAACTTCTCGATTGCTTTGTTCTGCTTTCCGAGCCATGAGCTGCAGTATGCTTTTCACTTCTAGGAGGCTAGGCACGGCAAAAGCATGAAAGGATTTGGACAGTGGAACTCTGCGACAGTTCGCCCTCCAATGGCCTGATGGGTCGCTGAAGACTTCGCCGTTGGAGCCCTCAAAGTTGCTCAAGAAATCCAGGCTAGGAGTTCGGGTCACCTTCCACCACAAAACGGCATAAAATCTCGTCCAGCCATTCATGTCCCGGGACCCTCCTGCCTTCAAGCCACCATCAAGTGGTACGGGGTGACCTTGGTGGCCCTGCCCAGGAGCATCAGCATCCGTGGTCGCCTCACCTTTCTTCACACTCACCTCCAGAAAGCAGGCGGCAATGTCACCGAGGAGATTCAGGAAGGTGAACACTGCTTTGACTCGCGTCCATTTGGGCATCCTAGGAACTCTGGGTGTGAAAATCACAAATAAAAAATCCGAGCCGTCGGCCATCCGTCGACCGTACTTCCACTGGCTGGCTAGGTCAGGGCGAAGTTGCAGTTCAGACAGCGTCTCATCCTGGAGGGAGCTTAGCACCCCCCGTTTCCTGATTCAAACGTGTTGAAGCACACCATGCCTGCGCAGGCGCTGCAGGTGACCTTGCAGCCGGGGCGCGATACCTGAGCTCGGCGGCGTCAGCTACAGCTACGCCAGAGTAGGCAGAAGCTGGGGAAGGGGGCGTGATCTCTGCAAGGCTGAGGATTCAGACTTCGGCAAGAGTGCCAAGAAGTGTAAACACTCAACAGACCACCAGAGATGATAGCTTAGATTGTCGAGGTCAGGAGTGCTTGGCAAGCCTCTCTTGAAACCAAGGCAAGCCTCGATGCGAAAGATGTTCAGCAAACAAGCTTGGCGGTCATACTGCGCAAACCGGTCCAGTAGACGCTAGGTACATGTCCTGTGACGGTCTATGTTGGCCCAAGGTGTCTCTTCCATTCAGTCCGCAAGGAAGGGATCGGAGCCAAGGCTCCTCCTAAAAAGCTGCCATTTGTGAGAACAATGCTCAGAACTTCAAGGGTTTGCCGGTTTGCCTTACGTTCCAACATCAGGCTCAGGCTGCCCGGCTCGTCCAGTCATCGCCAAAGTACCTCGCTTGAGGTGCAAAGACTGCTTCAAATTCGGCTAGTGTGTTGTCACTATACCCTTAGGATCGGCTGTGGCCTTCTAGGTAGTATTATTAGGGGTACCCCTTAAAGGGCACCCCTTCTGAACCCTACTTTTGGCTCTCTTAAAAGGGACCTTATTGAGAGGTTCTATATCCCCAAGGGTCCCCTTAATCCTGGCTCTCACCTTCAAACATTGGCAAGCCCTCAATTCCAAACAACTCAGCAAGGATGCCTGGCACGCACAGCTGCACAAACCTCGCTGCCACAGCGGTGTCATTGCGGCAGGCTTTGTGGCTGAGATCACGTGGTTGCAAAAGCTAGAGATGCTGTGAGGAGCTTCAGAACTGGCTCTTGGAAGCTGAAGAGTCAAAGCTGGCTCGAGCCACAATCGGAGCATCACAGCACACAAGAACCTCACTCTGCCGGCGAATCCTGACAAGACGACCTTTTGCGAGGATGTGTTGCAATCCTGTTGATCAGGACCTATGCACCTTCCGGCGCTCCGATCCCCCCTCGAGTGAATCTTTACCATCACATCG